CAATTCCTGCGTGACGCGGTCGGGAGGGTCCCGCGCTGTTTCGTGCGGTGCCGGACCGATGCGTTGGACAGTGTCACAGACGCCAAAAAATGGACGCTCTAAGCGGGTCATTAATTTCAGCCAGCAAAGGTACAGGACGAAATTTTAAACTACGAATTAATTCCCAAATGCTTTCGCACACTTAGTCGTTGGAAGAGGTGAGTAGGGGCTGTAAGCGGGATAGAAATCCCACACACAGAGTCATTGGAAGAGGTCAGGAGGCGCTGTAAGCGGGATAGTAATGACTGTCAGCGAAGCTGAAGGAGGAAGCAATTCCAAACTTGGAAAAATTCCTTATATAAGACTTTGAGGACCTTGCCCGCACTGAGCTTGACAAATGTAATGCATCGTACAGTTCTCACTCGCGCTGATGTGAATCTTAGCAATTCTAGTACATCTTTATCCGTCAATACGGCAGTTGAGCGCGAAATGAAATCAATGCGAAGGGGTAAGGTGTTACATATTTTCAAGGTCTAGCATCCAACGCAACATAAAAGCGAGTGAAAACTTACGCCAAAGACGCCAACAGTTATTAACGGTCATCGCCGCATTATATGAGATTGCAACTGGCCTAGTGACACACCCGTTGTCGACCCCTTTTAGTAAAAAGGTTTGGGCATCAGGAATCGCAACAGGGACGACGACGACTGCACATTAAAAGTTTTGCATAGCGATACGTTAAGGTGTCGTGCACCCCTTTTACCGACATGTTAAGGCGTCGAAAATCGCGAACGACTAAAAGCGACCACGTCTACAGATGCTTTGATGATCCGATAATGGATGTGAAGGTAACGCCACCGTTATTGTGAAGGTGCAACAAAGGTTGCTTCTGAATTTAGAAGCGGTAGACTTAAGAGGTGAGGAGGCGTTCTAAGCGAGTCATAAATTCCCTTCAGTTAAGATAGAAGAGAGAATCTTAAACTACGAATTAATTCACAATCATCCTTTTGCACAGTGAGGTGTCGGAGAAGGTGAGGAGACTCTTTAAACCACCACTCCCTCCGACAACAGGAAACAACCCCCCCCTGTGAGTTCCGACGAGTTGTTAGGGATGACGGCGACCGGAGGCGGAAACAAAAAGGGGGGGGGGGAGGAGGGAGATAGGTCGATAGATATATATATATACAGAGAGAGAGAGAGAGGAGAGAGAGAGAGAGAGAGAGAGAGAGAGAGAGAGAGAGAGAGAGAGAAAAAAAAAAAAAAAAAAAAACCTCTCTCTCTGAGACACACACACACACACACACAAAAAAAAAGAACAAAAAAAAAAAAAAAAAAAAAAAAAAAAAACAAAAGAAAAAAAAACAAAAAAACAAAAAAAAAGCCCACAGCGGCAAAAAAAAGGGAAAAAAAAAAAAAAGGGTCCGAACTCCTTGCTTTAACCCGGAAAAACATTGACAGATACTAGTTGAACAACGAATCTAATCGCAGTTATCGGTGTTCAACAGAGCACCTTAAGGAAGTGTCAAACAGTCATTGACTCTCTGTGCGGATTGCCAAAAGCACTCTCAGGGAACCTTGATGCCAGGTTGAAGTTTTGTCGTGATCTGTTTGGTGACTGAGCACCTTCAAAAAATGTCAAACAGTCGTTGGTTGTATGCGACGATTGCCATTAGCACTCTTAGGGAACGTTGATGACGGGTGTGGATTTGTTTCCCGCAGATTATCAATTTTTGGGCAGTCTTTGAAGCTGAAGTCCGCCACTGGGGCTACTTTGGTGGGTCTGTGGTTGGCCTTCCTGTTGGACCTGAATCTGTTTCGAACAGAGTTTAGCACTTCACAAACAAAATTTAACTTCAGGTCCCGCAGGTTAACAGTTGTTGGGAAGTCTTTGATGCTCAACCGCAGTTGTTGGGAAGTCGGGCCTAGTCTTGCAATTTGACAGTATCAACGCGCTTAGAAAAATTCACAGAAAATTTCGAAAATTTTAGGCTTCGTTGATTTGCTTGTGATCGTTCCAGAAAAAATCTGAAAACTTAGAAGGAAGCACTTGTGGTGTGCTGAACTTGCCAAGATTGAGGAGCCAATTTCACATTCGACATGACTGAAATGACAATATTTTTTGCGATTTATCAATTTTTTCGATAAGACAGAAGACCTTCAAATAAAATGTTATTTTTTTGCGAACTTGCACAAATGATCAGTCTTCCAGTGACAACACAGAAGATAACAATTATGGTTCATCATCCATTTTGGCGAACGCCTCATATCGAACCTTCAGCGACAAACAAGGTCAAGCACACATACATTCTCGCGATAGCACAATTGATGATCATTTTTTCGAACTCGCAGTTATGGACAAAGGGTACAAAGAGGATTTGAGTCATCTTTGAGGGTCTCAGTTGGTTCAATGAGTATGTGTGTGTGTACTAGGGGGTGAGGGGAGGGTTTGGAACATACGATATCATTGCGGGCAGGGCCGTCTGCGCAGGTTTCGCTTGGCGAGTGTAGTACCCGCTCCGAAAACGTAGGAAGGCTCGACGTGCCGGCCGGCCTGGTGGGACTACCCTCAATGACCGTGCGATAAGGACCCCCCAAGGCCGTCTTCAACCTGCACAACCTTTAAAAAAAAAAAAAAAAAAAAAAAAAATGTTGATAATACAAAAGGTAATCGTTTTGGCAAATTTGTAGACATGAACGGTCTTATCACAAATGTATGGCATCCAAAATGCGAATATGTTCGCATTTGTCATAAGGAAACAACAGTTAGCATTCAGTGGAGAGTACGAGATGTACTCTGGTGATAACAAAATTGACAATCATTTAGTGCACTGCTGAATTTTCTGGAGTCCGTAAAACAACTTCAAGCACACATACATTCAGGCGATAATTGGTTTCCGAATTGAGAATAAATTCGCAATTGTCATATGGAACCAACAGTCAGCATTCAGTGGAGAGAAGAAGGATGGTGGTTGTAGGGAGGAGGACACATGAGAGGGGGTGGACCGTAAAATAGGGCGGTACGCGCAGAACAGAGACGAGCTAAAATATGTGAAAGTTGGGTGGTCGGGGTGGGGGGGGGAGTGGGGCTTTCACACCACACAGTCTCGCGTAAGAAAGAGATAAGCACGAAACAATTTGGCGACCAAGAAGAAATCATTGATATCTTTCACCAACATCTTGCTAAATGAACCAAAGTATTGAATCCTACGAGCATGAGTGTAAAGAATGTCAACAAGAGGACGAAGATGTCCCATGAGTAACACAGGAGCACAACCTGGAAACGAATAAAGGCAGCATGGCGTTGCCGTGGTCGTAGAGGACATAAGGAGAACGACCCGAAAAAAAACAAAGGCAGCACAAAACTGGGATATTCACATCCGATATCAAAGCGTCTACTTAAAAGATACTGCATCACGTGGCCGAGATATTTACATCGACATCTAAGCGTCTACTTCACCTAAGCGTCCGCTGCAACCCTCTAGCTGATGTTGCGCGGCAACGAATGAGAACAACCTGAAAACAAATAAAGGCAGCACGACGTTGCCGAAAGTCCAACGAGTAAAGTTGACAGGTTCCTCGCAATAAAGAACCCTTAAAAAAATGTTGCAGCACAAGGCTGGGATATTCACATCGACACCTAAGCGTTTACTTGATCAAAACGTTCACTGCAATCCGCTACCTCATCAAAACAACAGCACAGCTCGAACATGCCGAGTGCTAGACCAAGTCGGAACAGATTCGCACTTCTGCTTGTCGCCTTTGCCATAAAAAACTTCGCGTATTTTAAAAACAGGGGTGTTATTCCGAGCCTTGGAGTATGTCCACCGCAATCCTCAGCCTGATGTTTGGAATGTCGGATTGGGCTATCGGAAATGGTGGCGAATGCCCGCGTGCAAGAAAAGAAGCGAAGGCGAGCATAAAAACACCGCAGCTCGACCCGTCCGACTGTTGTGGGACACCATGAACAGCTACCTTGGGCGCCGGGAGATCCAGTTTCGTTTTTTAATCATATTGACAAACTGCTTCATCATGGAGGTACTCCGTGAAGTTCGCAAGCGACTCGGAAGAAAAACCGCCATCGTCTTGTAGGAGAGAGTCGTAGTACTCCAGCCGTTGTTCGCGGACACATAAAAGAGTCCAATGCACTCGATTTTTATGGACAGGAATCAAGACCATGTCGTACGAAAAAATATTGACATCTTTTGTCCATCGCGAAACCCTTTCATGTCGACAGCCGCCACTGACGAGCTTGGTATAGAAAAAGGGACTGAAAATGTAAAGAGAGGGACACCCAGACAATGCAGCGTTGCCAAGCAAGGCCAAGTACGACTCCACCACCTCGTCGGAAAGCCATTCCCCCCTGGACAAAAGTTTGAAGACTTTTTCTGCTCAACGGAATAGAACTGGCCCCTTTGCGAACCGAGGAAACCACCTCGTGGCCGTTGCTGAAATATCCGCAGACGTCCTGCAATATTCTCAAGTCTGTAGTGCTAAGCTCCTCAGTAGGCAAGGAAACGCGAAAACATGATGTAGCCTCAGCTGCACAAACACCTACGAACAAGTGTGAGGAGTGACCAAAATCACCGGGGCGAAATAACTAAGAACTGTGTGCCATTTTTTCAGAAAAGTTGTATTTCCGACTGTTGAATGTGTCCTTGGCGTTGTACTTAGGATACGGGTCTTTCAAGATACCCCGTTTGGCATCGTCATCAGACCCATCAGACAAAGCAGTAACGCTTTCAATAGACGCAGCCAAATGTTTCTGCAAAGCTTCCTCCTTATTTATTCCACAAGCCTTCATAACCCTGACAGCTCTATGGGAAAGACGAGGCATCTGGACCCTTTTAAACAACCCCACACTTGACGACGATTTCTTCGATAAAGCGGCCAATGACCTCCCTGAAAGACATTTCCTGCGCATGGCTTTTAAAGACTTCATGGGCAGGGACATTGACAACCTTACACCTGTAAAACATAGAAAACAACCCACAACCCACAAGTTTTTTTTTAACAAGTGGTAATAGGTATATGAGCCCATCACATCAATTTGGACGAACACAGAGCTGGCTAGTGACAGATATGCGAGTGCTGCTATTCACAAATCTTATCGTGCTCGGGAGCCCTTTGAGGGAAATCACCCTCCTGTCGCGCCATTGTGCCAACGTCCACAGAGGATTTGACGTTCTGCACCTCGGCCACGGCTGTGTCGCTAACCAGCTCGGTGGCAGCTGAGTCGTTACGCAACTCGATGGCTTCATGAAGTACCATTTCCCGAACGGTACTAAGGACAGACGCTCGATCACCCTGTTCTTTACCGCAATAGGTGGACGGAGAATTATGATCTTTCCGCTCTGGATCCATCTGGATGCTGACGGACACCTCACCGCCTTCCACGGAGGATTCGACGTTCTGCACCTCGACCACGCCTGAGTCGCTAACCAGCTCGGTGGCAGCTGAGTCGTCACCCAACTCGATGGCTTCATGAAGTATCATTTTCCGACCGGTACTGAGGACAGACGCTCGATCACCCTGTTCTTCACCGCAACGAGTGGGCAAAGAATCATCATCTTTCCGCTCTGGATCCATCAGGATGCCGACCGCCACCACACCGCCTTCCACCAAGGGTTCTCCGCCTTTCTCATCGCCATGAACCCGCGCTTCCCCCACGGGTTCTTCTTTGCCTTCCTCATCGCCAAGAAGCCGAGCTTCCATGAGCGTCCACTGACCTCCCTTAACGAAACCCTCTCGCGTCGTGGCCACAGCCGAACGACTGTGCAGAACCTCTTCGGACGTCCCGGTCACCAGCACTCCTGCGTCGAGCCCCTTCAAGACTTCGTGAGCCGACCAGTGTTGAGTCTCCTCTTCCCGCTGCAGAGCATGCGTTTCCCTCGGAGCTGCTGTACTCTCTTGTTAGAGTCCACAGACGCACCCTCCGAAGCATGACATTCATATTCGCTGCCCCCGGTTTCCAACACTTTGTGAGACTGCCAGTGTTGAGTCTCCTCTTCCCGCTGTACAGCATGCGCTCCCGGATAGAGCTCCTCTTCCCCAGGAGCCGTTGTACTCTTGCTATCGACGTCGACGGATACACCCTCCGAAGCACGACGTTCATATTCGCCACCCCCGGTCTCCAACACTCCTGCATCGTGCCCCTCCAACACTACTCGAGACTGCCAGTCTCGAGTCTCAACATATGAGAACGGAGGTGAGCAGGGGAACCCTGTGCCCAACTGAAGATGCGGGGAGCAAGACGTCACATTTTCTTGGCCCCGCGGAACTGTAGTGTGAGGAGCACTTCTGGCGGAAGGCCTCCAGGGCAACGTCAGCAACTCCGAATCTATTCGGTGTTTGTGGCGCTCGCCAGAGCTGAGGGAACTGACGGTCGCACCTTCGCTCTTTCGCAACTCCGAATCTATTCGCCGGAGCTGAGCGAACTGACGGTCGCACCTTCGCTCCTTCACAATGCAGGCATCCCGACCTCCAGGCAAAATGAAGACGCAGTTCCTATCAAGGAATGGTTCCGCCGCTCAGCAGATGCTGCTAAATGCTGAAGACGTTCGCCCTTTTCCAGGAGCAAGGTGTTGTGGACGGGAGACCTCTGCTGCGCACGGCGGGACGGACTCTCCTCGGCATCGGAAAACCAAGTCCTCGCAGTCTTCGCAGACAAGTGTGAATCTACTTGCACTTGATTAGACCTCAGGGCGGCCATGTCCCGCATGTCGGAATCCTGGCTCACTACGCAGTGGCTGTCAATTTTCCTATACTCGGGACTCCCGGACGTTCTACGCTTTCCGTCCGACCCCTTTCCTCTCGACCCCTTCCCGCCCGATCCTTTCCAGCCGACCCCTTTCCGCCCGACCCCTTCCCGCGTGACCCCTTTCCGCCGGACGCCTTTTCTCCTGACGATATTTCGCCCGACCTCTTTCCGGCAAATCATGAGCCGTCTCCTCTGTCACCTCCATCGTCTCCTTCGTCTCCTCCTGCACCGCTTCCCGGATGCTGACCGTCCGACGGAGGTTGCGGCATGCGCCAGTCAATGCCACGAGACGGTGTCGTTTCGAATGCGTAGAAAGGCACTCGAAACTCCAACATTTGTCAATGTACAACTCGTGGAGCTTCTGGCTTGCATACGCAGTGACGTCCGAAAAACTCCTTTCGGGGTTCATAACACTCGAATGCTCCACCACAACATCTCTCGCCTTTTTCTTAAATGAACCCGCTGCCAGTCTGTTCATGCCACTCCACTTGCCACCGGCTTCCTTCATTGCCATGACCCACTTTCCAGTCTTTACAGCAGATTGGAATATCCTTGGGTGCCAGACGACGTTGTGGCCCCAGACATCCTCCGACGTGAACCAGTGATGCTTCCCGAAGAAGAAGAGTCTGTCATTCTCCCAGGTATCATGGTCCCTAGGGAGATTGCCACAAAGTTCGTAATCATAGTCTCTCTCTTCCTCCCCGTCATCAGACAATTGGTCGCCGACTGTTTCGCGCTCAAACACACGCTTCAAACCGGCAGGGGACGTGCTATATCTCCGAGGAGCACCTTCCCCTTCATCACTAACCTGTCCAACCACCCAAGGAAGTGACATGGACTCGAAACCGATGTTTTCGGAGTCGCTCAGCTCCTCCATGTCTTCAGCGTCGAAAGGGTCCTCCTCGTCAAACTGCGCCTTGTAGTTTTCGAGGGTGAGCGGTTCGGCCATCAAGAAGAAAATGTGCTCCAGCCTTCTCAGGAAATTGAAGTCAGACTTTCTGGGTGCATCGTGGTAACCATTAAGCACACCGAACACCAGGTTTCTCCGTCGATTGTATTCGAGGTCGGTCTGAGCAGGCGGACCGGGTTGGAAGAGGAAGTCCCAAACCTCCCCGGCAATTTCCAATACATGTCACGTTTGAGATCCCAGTTACGTTCGCCGGTGGTTTACACAAAAGAGCAATAATTGCGAGGGTCTGCTACGCCTGTCTTCACGAACTCGTTAAGGTAATCGATCATCCTCGCCTCGTCCTCCAACACAACGACGTTCCGACCGTTGCGCAGGAGCTCCCACACGACAGACGCATGCGCCTTTCCAAAGAAAAAAACAGTTTCCCCAACTCTGCAAAAGTTTTCGAGTAGACCAAGTAGATGGGACGGGTTCCGCTCCCTGTCCCCGTAAGCAGCTCCATGAATACTTGTGACGCCGCCGTCCTCCCACTGGCTACGAGGGAACTTGTCCTCGTCCGCCACGTCGAAACAAGCTACAGCTTGTCCTGATGGGTCCGATGAACAGACAAGTTTCGAGCGGGCTGCCACCGTGTGTTTGGCCGGACTTGGAGTATGAGCACGGGGAACCTTTGTCGGGCTACTGGCCGGGAAGACTGCGACTGTGTTGTCTGTCAGGTTCTCGCCATTGAAAACCACGTACAAATGATCATACTCCTCAACCAGCATATTGCCTTCGCGGACAGTGGCCTGCCTTTGTGCATGGCGCACCCACTTCCCTGTCCTGACGTGATGGACGCAAGCCTGACCATGCCTTTCAAGAAACTCAGCTCCCAACGAGAGGGGAAGAAGACCACAAGTGCCCAGTGCGTTGGCAACAGTGTTTGGAGAACGCCTTGCAAGGAGGCGAAATCGTCTTCTCGCCAGTCTGAGAGGAGTGTGGGATCACACAAATCGAGGACGTACAGGTTGCACACGTAATGTCGCACAATCTTGCGGATCTCAGTGAGACGACTGTGAGCTTGGGAAGACAGGCAACTAAAAGGAATAAGGCTGGTCACCCGGTTGAGCTTGTGCCATTTGATGTGTCTCACATCCCCACTGACCCTGATCGTGTCTCAGACTTCTTCTTCCGTCCGTCGTAAGATTGAGCGGACAAACTTTTAGAAAGATTTAGGAAACTTGTCATCATCGTACATTCTCTTCGTTTCGTCGAGGGACTCCTTCTCGTACGGAAAAGTACGTTTGCAAGTGTTCACGTACTCCACCGCGCCTTGGAAATGCTTTCGCAGTTCGACCCACACCTGTTTCGTGAGGCCCTGCGACCCGAACTCCCCAGAAGCTGCCCCTCGGTCCGGAAAAAAAGGCTCCCATAATGCCAAACCCCTGCGCCCTCCTCCGTTTAAAGGAACAAGATGTAGTGAAACATGCGGAGCATCATGCGGTCCACTTTCCTCGTCGCGACCATGTCTTTAATTTCAGGCTTATGTTGGCGTTTCAACTGTCCGCCCGCCGATTGCACGAACACTCCCCTAAGTGCGAGAATGTCGTCGAGGATCGACATTTTTCCGGCATCGGTCATGTCTTCAAGCCACAAGACAAGGATAAGTACTTCTATTACCCTGTGAACGGGCAACACACTGTGGATGTTGTGAAGGAGTTGGCCGGTGAACAAATATTCGAATTGTGGAAGATGCACTCGTGGCCGGCGAGAGTAGTCTGGTTCTCCGACGAAGACTTCGAGCGGTATTTGCAGGTCAGTCTCATGGAGAACACATGACACAAAATGTCTAAGCAGTGTGCGCAGAAGGCCGCTTTCGAGGACATGCGGGAGACATGGGAGAATGAAGGAAGGTCGATGGCCATTCAAGGGAACCCTTCTGGTAAGGAGGCCGAAAAACAAGTGTTTTTCGAGTTTCAAAAGCTGCTTTTGGGAAAGAGTTCGAACGGGGCTCACTGGACGATGGCACGTAAAGCGACAACGCTCGCCGACAAGGAGCATGTCGCTGCCATTGGCAGTGCGTTGAGGCAGTGGATGTCGCTCATGACGGCCGATGATGACGTTTTCTGCAAAGGCATGGAGTTCTACGAGAAATGGGCCGAGGGAAAGTTGTTGGGCGGCGACGGGAAAACACCCTTGTCGAAGCCGGGCAAATACATGCCAGACAAATCTCCGGGCCTTCAAGCAATTCCGGAAATGGGTGCGAACGGGGAGGCTGGTGAAACGAAGATGGGGTAGCTGATCCGGGTCCCGCCGCCTCCAACCAAAAAGAAAACGCAGTCAAACGACAAGTTTTTCGTCGTCGTCAAGGAGACGGACATGTTCTGTTGTTAGTCTCAACGAAGTCCAAAAACCATTGTGCATCCCTTGCATGGAAATACGGAGGAGTAGATTGCTGAAGAGGGCATCCCTCCTCGGGGGCAGACGGCCCAGCCCTTGTGGATGTGTTCTTCGCGGACGCCATTTTACTTCCACCCCTAGACCAACACGCCAACGCCAGACCAAATTGGATGACCGGGAGGAAAGTCATGAGGTTTAGGCGAACTAACTCGGAATTCTGGGAATGAAGAGCTTAACAATTCGGAAAGAGTGCGAACCGACTAGCTGTCCTCGAAATGAGGAAGAGGCGGTTTATGTTCGGCAAAGTGCGAACTAACTCGGAGTTCTGGGAATGAAGACCTTCGCAACAAGTGTCGCTTGGGTATCGACAAGTGGGAAGGGTATCGACAAGTGCGAACTAACTCGCAGTTCTGGAGACAAGACAACAATTGCAACCCGCAGTTATGGAAACGTGAAAGTCACGTTTAAGGAGAAGGTGGCTTATCTTGGGGAAAGTGCGAACTAAATCGGAGTTGTGGAAATAAGGACTTGAAAGACGCAACACATGGGTGTCTACAAGTGCGAACCAACTCCGAGTTCCGGATACGGAGGACAATAACTCCTTCAACAGTGTTGGTCATATAGTGCGAACTGAGTGTTCTTTATTTCCACAAGAGGAAGAGGCTGTTTATGCTCGGCAAAGTGCGAACTAACTCGGAGTTCTGGGAATGAAGACCTTTGCAATAAGTACCGCTCGGGTATCGACAAGTGCGAACTAACTCGCAGTTCTGGAGACAAGACAACAATTGCAACCCGCAGTTATAAAAATGTGAAAGTCGCATTTAAGGAGAAGGCGGCTTGACACGTGCAGTCTAACGTGCAGTCGCGCTCGACACGGTTCGTTTTTTTTCATCCCTGATTTCTCTAAGTCCAACTTCGCTGATGGTAGATAGGAACAGTGAAAGTCTCGTTAATATGTGTGTGTGTGTGTGTGTGTGTATGTGTGTGTGTGAGAGAGAGAGAGAGAGAGAGAGAGAGAGAGAGAGAGAGAGAGAGAGAGAGAGAGAGAGAGAGAGAGGACAAACACACACAAAGAGAGTGTGTGTGTGTGAGAGAGAGAGAGAGAGAGAGAGAGAGAGAGAGAGAGAGAGAGAGAGAGAGAGAGAGAGAGATCGGACGAACGTACACAAAGAGTGTGTGTGTATGTGAGAGAGAGAGAGAGAGAGGAAACTCTTACTTGGGCGCATACGCACTACACCGACGACGGGGGAAGGATTGTTATACTTATCGATCTTGAATGGAGAATGCCTTGTTAGAATGAGACATCAGGCTCCTGCTGATTGCATTCCTGCCTTTTGTACACACCGTCCGTCGCTCCTGTCGATTGATTGGTCAGGTGAGAAGTCGAGATTGTGGTGATTTTGGCGGGAGCCGCCGAGGGTGTTGTGAGAAGTTCGTCGGACTTACCATTTAGAGGGAAGAGAAGTGAATTGCGCGGTAGGAAGGAGAAGATAGCGCAAGAAAGGGGAGGGGGATGGCGAAGAAGCAGGCGGAGCAGAAAGAGAAGGAAGAAGAAAAAGAAGAAGACGAAGAGGAAAGAGGCGGAAGAAGAAGAAGAAGAAGAAGAAGAAGAAGAAAAGGGAAGGAAAGAGAGGGTACTTACCTCCTCTCTTGCAGACGATGATAGCAACTTTCGGGCACTAGCTGCATGTTGCGCAGACGATGCTTCACTAACGTTGGCCAGCGCTCACACGCTCACAAGCAAGCTAGAAGGAGCAGACAGCCATAGCCGAGTTGCGCTGCTATGTGTTGGATGGGGCACATGGTGGTCCCTGGGTACACGTGACACTTGTTCGTGTGGGATCGAAGTTGTGAGTGATGCGTGAGACTTACCTGGTGCTGGAAGCGTGTGGCACTGACCGCTGTCTGTTCATACTTCGGAAGAGTTGTTGTCGTCATCTTCTGCATTGTAGTCTAGGATAGATAGGATCTGCCATCTGTAGTCTGGGCACCGAGTGCAAGATATGATATTAACATTGGTTCTTCGTTGATGATGATGATGATGATGAGACTATTCCAGCATTGTCAATTATAAGCATTTGGAGTGCTCTTATTTGGTGAAACTTGTGATGCAATTCTGCTTTTTGGTTCGAGGTCACGATTATCTGGTCTCATGTGTATGAAGCTGCTTGGTTTCTGAAGTTCGCTATCGCTCATTTTTCTTGTGTTATTATTATTATTATTATTATTATTATTATTATTATTATTATTATTATTATTATTATTATTTAACTATTATTACTATTATTATTATTATGTTCCGATCCTAGCTATAATGTGTAGGGGTTGGCGTGTTAGAAGGGGTAGACGCGCGATCGGTGGTCTTGAGCGAAGGAGGCGAGAGTGGGGTTATCAAGGTCTGGTTGAGGGTGATGAGACACGTACCTGGTACATGATGAGAGGTCGGCTATGGTGTTGACAATCATGTACATTGGTCTTCGAGAGACGAAGTGAGCCTGCTGCATGAACCAGCTGTAGGTAGGATAGTCGGCTAGAGTAGCCTGGGCACTGGGTACCAAATAGAGAGGAGTGACTTTGGTTATTGTGTTGATGTGGCCTGCGGGCTTGAACGTTGGCTCATTACTTCATCGTATTGCTTTATATGGATGGTTTCTCGGTGCATTCGTACTCTCTGCTTGGACACGACTACTTGTCATCTGTGTGATTTCACTACTTGATTTCCTG